AGAAGGCGGGAAAAGGAAGCGCGCTCGCGTCAATTTTTGAAACAACTTTTTCACCACAACGACTCCATTTTTGTCTTTGAAATACTTTACTTCTGCGCCAAATGTCGGAAAATCAACGGGTAGTTAACGGAAAGCGATCTTTATCTGAAGAAGAAAAGACAAGAAGAAGAGAAAGAGAGCGTCGAAGAAGTCTAAGTGAAGAACAACGCAGGCTTGAAAGGGAAAACGTGAGAGACGAAACAATGTTTATTAAGACTCAAGCAAATCGAGAAACAAGTGAACGCCAAAGACGACGATTATTGATGGAGAATTTCTCAGAGGAGAACTGACATATTCTCCGACGATACCGTGGATTTATTAAACAAATGGCGGTATGTTAGAGATTATATGTGCATGCAAGCGGTTTTGGTGCTCAAATTATACCAATTCTTCTACTTCAAGAACCTTTGGCAGTTTTAATCTGGTTTAAATTTGCTTTTGAATTTGAAAATCTTCACCTGATACACTTCAAAACTTCTCAATTTAATTGAGCTTGTTGACAATGAAAACATGTGTGAATTGTGTATGTACGTACATTCTATCCAGAATAACTTAATAATCTTCTTTGACATATTAAAACTACTCGGATGTTTTAATTCATAAAATTATGCATTTTGAAAAGAGAGCCTTGATATTATTTGAATGTTCAGATTTTTACTCTTTATCCTTCAATAAACTCTTTAATACAAACTGTCAACAAATACAGAGAGCAAAGAATTTGAGAAGTTGAAAAATGGATAATCATTGAACATGATTCCTTTGTTTACAAAACTGTCAAAATGTATTTATTACTTATCATTAATGATCACTGTATGTCAAATGTATTGATTAAATATGTCATTCCTGTGTGATTAAATTATTATTACGTATGTTTCCTGTGTGATTGAAAAACCACCAAAACTGTCAAATTGCATAAATGACCCATAAATCATTTTTTTGGGATCACTGTATGATTGAAAAATATCAACTGCCAAAATGTATTTATTATTATTTATCATTCCTGTGTGATTAAATAAAGGATATTACATGGGTGCATGGAAATATTGTGCTAACTCGTGGGATAAATAAATTCAAAACTTGAAGATAAAATTCATATCTTCAAGTGACAGCTGTAATGTTCTGTTTATTAAATGACATTGGTGTAAGCAAAAGTGTGTAACATTTTCATTATAAGATCAAAAATTTTGAACATTTCAAGAACATATTAATTTATGATTTATGCATGATTGAATAATACCAAAACTGTCAAAATGCATTTTATATTATTTTATGATTCCTGTAAAGATTGAAAAATACCAACTATTAAGAATTTACAAAAAAATTGCAAACAATCTATTGACATATAAAGATGCATTTTGTTATTATTTTTATTACCGTATTTTTGCATGATTGAAAAATTTCAACTGTCCAAATGCATTTAATAATATATATAAATCCTGTATGATTGAAAAGTCAGAGTTTCAAAATATATTAATAATTTATATTAATTTATGATTTCTGTAATATTAGAGTACAAACATTAAATGYGTGCAATACTTTCCACTATTTAGTACAAAATAATGTTAATTAAACAATAGAAAACAATAGAATTAGCATAATTTAGCAGTATTTAGTAGTATTTATGTTGCAAAGTTTTAGTGTTTGTACTCTATCTAAAGAAGTTTTATTTTGGTAAATAACCTAAATTATGTTTTTAGCATTATACATGGTGTGCTCTTCATAAGAAATTGTGCACTATCTGAATGCACACAATACCACAAGAATTCAAAATAAGTGGTTTTCTTTACATATATTTATATGTATCACTGCTTTGCATCAACAAAGCTGAAGAGAAAATATCTAATAATTATTTAATGTAGTGAAATGGAAATTTTTTGTTAGAAAAAATAAATTAGTCTTGACAAAACATGTACTAAAAATGTGACCAATGTGTCTTGCATCCCATCTTTATCCAACATGCATATCTTTTGGGAGCTCCGCTATTAGGTTTTACCTAATTTTTATATTATTACATTAATCAGGATTTTCAATATTACCCATACCTGAGTGTCAAGTGTAATCACGCACAAGCAGTCAATAGAGCGAGCATTTTCCTTGTCTGCTTTGCATGTCAATGTCTTGTGACTACCATCCGAATCTCGATCAACAACTAATACTGCATATTTTGTCACTGAAAAACAATTACAATAAATCGAGAGTATTCAAATGTTTTCCTATCATAGCCGGTTGTTCTTTTATGTTGTGTGACTGTAATATAGACCCCTTAGCATGTGACGTCAAAGCAGCTTCATCTGGAGGACAAAACAAAAGATTTTTATCCTCTTGGGAACTAGAATCCATTGTTTTGTCCTCCCGTTGGAGCTGCATTCCCATGAACTGCAAGGGGTCTATTCAGTACACCTCAATTCCCAAGGGCGGAGGAGAAAGTATTGTCGTGCTTACCACACCAGAAGGCGTTTCCAATAGCAACAACAGTGGTCATAGTTTTCACACCATGAAGCTTGATCTATGAAAAAATAAAAGTAAGTTAGAAAAAAACAGGGAGTTAGTACAACTGCACAGTTGCAAGTCGGCCATCCCATATGATTAAATAATTCAATCAGGGTTAAATTCCTCTAAACAGAAAAAAATTAAACTTAGAAGTCAGCGCTTGGTTGGCGCTCGCAAATCCTCAATTTATTCTACATCTTGTATAAACTTTGTTTAAAGTTAACTTTCATGATCAAATTTTATTTGCGCAAACAAGCACGATACCTTGAGCTAACAATAAATAAATAAATAAATGCGTCCCATTCTATAGACCAATGCAAATCATACCGTTTTCTTGGGTGTAAGTGTTACCGGATCCCAGCCAATGATAAGCCCTTCTAGACTTGTACTCCACACGGTCAAGGAACTGGGGAGAGAAAACATACACTGACCTCACGATATTACCTTTAAGCAGCCGATAGGGGCAACTATTTTCAGGACGGTTTTCGTAAAAGACATATTATCTAATTCGCTGACCAARAAAATAGCTGGCTCTGAATTCACATCAGATTTGCTCTTGCTGCCTACTCTCGGCAAAAATTCCCGAACGACCGCAATTCCGAAGAATTACCGAAGAGCTGCCGAAACTCACTGTMTTTTAATAACTGTGTTGAAKAAGTGTTCGGATAGTTTTAGCATTGAGCACAAATTAAACATCATGGATTTCGTTCACCAAGACCAACTCTTTCAACCGACGTTACCTTAGTAACCGCGGTAGCCTAGCAACGAAGTTGACGATGATCACAGAAAAATCAATTTGAAGTAACATTCCCCAGTACCTTCAAATTAGCAAATAATAAGGCGAAGATAATACGATACCAAAATCAGAATCTTGAAAAAATGAACACCATTGAAATATGTTACGTTTTCAAGTCAAATAACTGAAAGACCACCAAGACATGCTGATACCATCCTATTCCTGATATCATGACATTGCCCTGGTCATAACGATGGTAAACTTTGTGATGTGACGTTGAGGTTCGTAATATTAGTACGTCATATATGGTATTCACGTGYACGTTCAACGCAAACATAGAAAAGATGAACGTTATTGTGATATTAAAGTTCCATGATACGTAATTGTCCAACACAAAACGTGCTCATTTGAATATCCATCTGACGCAAACATCGGAAAATAGTCATTTTACTCGGAGTTTTTGCGCAATTCAACTCGGCTTCACTTTGGTATAAATACAATCAACAACCAAAGATCCTCAGAACACACGGCAWGTCTTGGAAGATAGAAATGGAATTTCAGAGAGCAGCTGAAGAGAATTCGTTCGAGGCTCACCAACAGTTTTACTCCATGTCRGACAGCAAAGAGATGTCACAGAAGCAGCACATTGATGCGCTATACTATGGAATGGCAAGAGATGTCCAGTTTCCACAGAAATCAGGGGTATTTCACAATGGTGAGTACGATGAAAGAATCCTAAGGCCCGGTTCAGACGTCGATCTTTTTTCGCGTCTAATCGAATTGCTGGAGTTGGGTTTATGAACATTTCGTACTCTGAATTTATTGACATTGGTAGATTTTGTTCAGTTGGACGGAACTTATTTTAATTYGTAAATATCAATTGATTTAGACAGCAAACTTCGCGTGAACTACATGCAAGCAATTAGATTAGACGCGGAAAAAGGTAGATTCATGAACCGGGCCTAAATTACATATTCGCCTTTCCCTTTTGTAAGTTAAACACAAAAAAGATTGATTTACTAACTGACGAGCAAGAGATGCAAAATCAAAAAAAGGTAGAAACGGACGTTGATCCGACGAAGGAGAAATGCCCAAAATGTCAGCAAGTGTTCTGTTCTTTTTGTGGAGAAATTCATCATTTCACTCAAACTGTTTAAGAACCGTTTACGGGGCCATTCTTATCACACTTTTCCATGTCCCAATTATCATCGATCTAAAAGCAAAAGACTTAAAAAAGTAAACAATATTATTCATTCAAGCACAATTTATTTTCTTTGATAGCAGAAAAGGAACCCCACGGATGCGGCAAAAAACGAAGGAATTTCTTCACATGTTTTCAAAAGGTTGAACTTGAAGAAATCTTCTGCAAAAACTCCTACCCATCCAGACAAACTTGCGAGTTACTGGCTCTTAAGTTTGGCACCAATTCTCACTCATTGAAGGTAACACATTTTACAGAATGAATAAAATCGCCACAAAAACTCGTTCAAAAAATCTTGATGCTGATTATCACAATTTTTAGATATGGTTCAAGAATCGCCGAGCTCGGCAAAAGAAGACCATTATTCCAGCCAAACAGCCAACCGAGGGGAGCAGTGAAGTCCGTCCTATCACTTATCGTTACAACATGCATCATCATCCTTACTTTGTCGACAAAACACCGAATATACAACAAGCACAATTACCAACATTGAAAAATATTCAGTTTGGGCCAAAAATTTGTGCTGTTGATTCAGTGGGAAAATCTGCCTTCTCGATTTA